CTGCTTCAAAATTCTACCATGTTCTGGTATACTACACAATTTATTTTCCACTGCTACACATTTCCACAAAAAGGGGCCAAAAACAGAAAACTACAAATTCGACGGTGAATTTGGATTCATACTGAGCCTACAGCGACCCAAGTAAGAATTGATCCACACCTGAGCTTACCGCGACCCAAGTAAGAATTAATTTAGATCCATACCTGAGACTACGACGACCCAAGTAAGAATGACGAAATTCTCTTAAGAATTCGTTCACTTAACTTGAAAATAAACAAACGCTGAAATAACAAAACACAACGAAAATTAAAACGTAAAAGATTCCATTTCTACGACGTATAAAAATTATAAGGCGACTTCGAATAAAACATTAAAAGAAATTGTTGAAGTACACATCTTTAAAATAATAAACAACTCTAAAATGGTTTTATTACTTGGCGACGCGGAAAAGAACGAAATATTATTTGGGTTTTAAATTGAAAGAATTCGGTATTTTAATACGTACAAATAGGAAACTAAAATAGATTAAAAAATATTCTGCGATTTTTCAAACATTTATGAAGGGATTTCAATATATTACATATACGAGGGGATTTCAATATATTTTAAAGAATCAATGAATTGCAAATGCTACAATATAACCCAATTACATATTAAGATCGGAAGATTATTACCACTTATCATATTTTGTACAAGCATATTTTATGTATGAGTTTAAGATGATTACCGATGTGTTTATGCCGGTTATATCAAGAATGCAAGAAAGTAACTTAGAGGTGCAATACGAAACTATAGAACGGTAGAAGAATTCTGCTACTTAGGGTCACTGGTAGACTGCACAAACAACACATCCAAAGAAATAAAAAAGAATATACGTAAGTAACTGCTGATATTTTGGCCTAGGCCCTTAACTAAGGCGGAGAAATACGTCAACAACAACAACGAAGTGCAAAGTTTATAAAACAATAATACGCCCAGTGCTCACTTACAGATCTGAAACATGACCAATGACGACTCGAGAAGAAGAGCTACGTCTTCTTCTTCTTCAGCCTTAAGTAAACCAACTTTAAACATAGGCATCCCCCAAATCAATCCAGTGTTTTCTATTTTGCGCAACTTGCTTCCAGTTGTGTCCTCCGATCTTCTTAACGTCATCAGCCCATCTCATTTGTTGTCTTCCTCTGCTTCTCTTTCCTAACCATGGTCTCCATTGTTGTATTTCGTGGTTCCATCTCTTATCCTTGAAGAGCTACTACGAATCTTTAAAAGAAAAGTATTAAGTAGCTTATATGGACGATTTAACGAACAGGTCTGTGGAGAAAGCGATATAATTTCGAACCTAGACTTTTCAGAGAAAATCAGAGCAGCTTTTGAACATGATGAAATTTCTGAGCATATATCTACTTTATAGTGCCGAAGCTTGGGCTGTTAATGTTAACTTGATTAGAAAGCTGGAAGCTTTTGAGATGTGACTTTTTAGAACAATTTAAAAAAAATTAGAAAAAGCTAAAATCTTAAAAGCTAAAATTTTAAAACCAGAGAAAGCTAACGATTTACCAAAAAATTACCGTCCAATTGCAATTCTAAGTATGATCTACAAATTTTTGAAAGAATACTATATAATAGAATTAGCCAAATAATACTCCAACATATACCTGTGGAACAAGCAGGATTTCGACCAAACCGCAGCTCTCCAGACCAAGTCCTAGCATTGATTAACTTTATAAAAACAGGCTTTCAAAAGCAACTAAAAATATATACTGTTTTATTGATTTAGCAGCAACGTACCATACCGAATGGAGACAAGGGGTAATATATACATAAATTAATGCAAGCGATTCCATGCAGAAAGATCACTATGCTATGTAACAGAAGTTGCCAAGTCATCCTCGGCGATAAGACTAGTACCAAAATAAAATTGAACAATGGCCTCCCGCAAGGATCGGTGCTGACCTCTCTACTATTTAGCTTTAAGATATCAGACATGCCCTTAACCACATCAAAGAAGTTTGGATATGCAGACAACTGGGTGCTTGCTACGAGCCATAAGGATTTGGGGACTACTGAGCAAATATTAACAAACGAACTAGCTACCCTCGGAAGATATTTTCGCCACTGGAGATTACAACCCAATACCGACAGGACGGAAGTATCGTGCTTTCATTTAAATAGCAGACTGGCCAACTACCAATAAAAAATACACTTAGAAGATTAACTCCTCAACCACACTAAATACCCAAAATATCTAGGTGTGACACTCGATACAACGTTAAACTTTAAAGGACATCGTACAAGATCACTGCAAAACTTAAAGCGAATAACATCTGCAAAAGTTATGCCGACCACATGGGTTCCTAGCGTCACTTAGATCGACAGCACTGGGCTCGTGTATCCCGTTGCGGAGTACTGTGCACTGGTGTGGCTCAACAGCCCGCATACTAAATGTGTTGACGTCCAACTAAAGCAGGCTTTACGTATTATATCGGGCACAATAAAGGCCACACCAATATACTGGCTACCAGTGCTAGGTCACATGTCTGCCGAGAACAAGCCCTTGTCAGGGAGTACAGAAAAATTAACGCTGATCACGCAGTTCTCTCACACGTTGGTGTACCTGCAGAGACATAAATACACTTTGTTAAAGAAACAACCCTCTAGATTCTGCAGGAAGTCAAATTGAAAAGAACTTCAAGATAACTGACCGTTGGCATGTAGATTGGGAGAAGACTGCACCACCTGACACCCAAAATGATAACAGAATCAGAACAAACTGTGGCAGGTGCTCCGACTCTCATTTTAAGTGGGGCAAAATGCCCGATCAAATCCTATAGTGACAATCCGTCCGATTTCTTAGTTGCAACCAATTATTCGTCAACTAAATGTTTGTATGTAAAAATTAATTATTATTTCCTCTTTGTAATGTATTATGTATACAAAAGTTAACTGTGATATAGCCATAATCTAAATAAATAAACTAGAAGAATTTTGAAAATACCATATGGACCTTTCATAGTACGAACGAAATGGTGTTGCACTGAATGGGAAGAGAGAATGGTTTTGACCGCCATTAAAAGGAGAAATACTTCTCCTAAATATCTCTCCTAAAAAGGAGAGATATTTGAGGCACTTACTTAGAAATGAGAAGTACTAGTTGTTGCAGCTAATTATGAAGGGTAAAATCGAAGGAAAAAGGGATCCTAGTAGACGAGACGACAAATATCCTGGCTGAAAAATATTCGCGACTAGATCAGGTTAAACACACAGATGCTTTTGAGAAATACATAAGATAGAGACGAATTTGCAATGGTTATAGCAAACTTGGAGTCGGCACTAGAAGAAGAATAGACTTTTTGGTGATGCAGATATCGTGAAGACCATCAAAATAAACCGCCTAAGATGGGTGGGTCACGTTATGCGAATGGGTGCAATACTATTAACATAGCTAAGCTAAATAGGTCAGTAGAAATAAGAAGAAGTGAACGCCCTAAACTCAGATACCTGGACTATGTGCAGGACGATTTAAGGGAAATTGACCTGTAAGGGAGACAATGACCTGTATGTTTCCCTAAGTTTAAAGTAGAGAGTCTATTCAAGGTCCGCCTGTCCTGTCTAAATGCTCTGATCGACTCCTGAGCGTCTATTTATTTCCCAGTCTAATATCCCAAATTATGTTAGAAAAAAAGATCACATAAAAGTTAAAAAATAAATAAATAAACAGGAACGAAAGCAAAGAGCACTACTTTAAAGCTTCTGCATAAAAAATACAAAATAATCCCATAAAAGTAGGATGGCGATTGTAGCGAATGGACATTGACTCCGAAGCCAATAATCCTCAAACACTGGTTTTGATTGTTTCCTTCAAGTACCAGCAAGATCGTTACTACCTCACTTGACAATGACAAGTGCGACCTTGCCGAAACGTTCTCAACACAATGGTTTTTCTCAAAACCGAAATTATTCAAAGCAGAGTAAACTCGGAAACCATAGAAAGTACATAACGCTCCCGCGGAAATTTTAAGTAAAAAACACTTGCACAGGTAACACTTGCCATTGTCAAGTCAGGTAGTCTTTTGACAACGCTTCTTGTGATTATAGTCTTCTACGCGTAAAGGTAGGAAGGGTCGTACCCGTCGGTCTTGTTGATTGATTTTGTTTTTGTCTTTTTCTTCAATACCGTTTTCTATGTTGTTGGAAGAATTTGAGGATCATCTCTTTGGTTTAGACTGTTAGGATTTTTTTATTTCTATTTATTCTCTGATCTCACGTTTTCTTTTCAACTTAATGTTAGCATCGTAGTTTGACGGCTAATTGTATGTCCTGTATTTGAGACATGTTGTGCAAGGAACGACGTTTTTTCTCTCCTTTTGACGGCATTTCGATGTTCTCCTCAACCATCGATTATTTGATTGGTCTGTCCAATGTACGACTTTTCACAGTCCCCACATGGAATACCGTATACTTCTTGGTTTTCTAACGATATTTTGGTTTTTGTGGATGGTAAAATTTTTCTGTCGGTATTAATTATCCTGTCTATTTTGTCTTTTCTTAGTAATCTCCCTATTTTCTCTGTTGTACCTTTTACATAATTATGGTAGAATGGTTTTTGCAATCGGTTTTTTGTCGTCTGTTGGATCATTAATTCTTCTTTGAGCATTGTGATCTTTTTCGATGGTATATGTTGAGAAGTCGTGTTTTCTTAAATCTATTTTCACATATTGCATTTTAATGACAGAATGTAATTGTGTAGGTTGGTGATGTGAATCTGAATAGGATAAGACTTTGAAGACATTTTCTTTGTATTACCCGCAATTTGATAGTATGAATTTATATTCTTAGTAGAAAATGGTGGTAGTCAGGACGATACACGTTCAGATGACGACGATGAGGATGATTCCAACGATACAACCTGTACTAACATTCACAATCAGTATAGGCCAAGAAAAGCATCTATGTCATCAATTAGTAATAAACAAAACCATTATGGAAGCTTTTATTTAAGAATGGGTGCTGTAGGTAAAACATTGACAATACTAAAAATCAGTTTTTTCTGCATATTTAATGTTTTCAGCCTTCGGCATAGGAAGTATGATATATTCAGGATTGGAATTCGGCCAGTATTTTGAACTCGAAAGAGATACGAAGTGTCACAATGTTTTATTGGCCCTCACTCCAGCGACAAGAATGGCTTTTATATTTATCCAAATGTATTTTATATTTCTTAATAATGAGGTAGGTACTGATATTTTATATGATGAATATTTTTTATTCAAATTTATTCGCAGTTAATATATATATTTTTGATGATCTGAAAGTACCAAAATTAAGTTGTATTGGTCACTGGTGGGTAAAGGAAGTCCTATCTACTTCAGAAACTGTTTTCTTGTGTCATGTTTAAGTTAAATATTGTATTTATATGTATATGTTATATAAATTTTCTTCAAAATTGGAACACGCTTTTCTCGATTATTACTGGACACGGAAAAGTGAAAAAAATCAATAATTACAGAAAAAAAACTTTTTCAAATGATGGGCGTAAAAAGTTTGGTTATAATAGAACGTTAAACTGCCTAATCCGATATTTCAAAAGAACGTTCAAAAAAATTTAAAAAGTAAAACCATCAGTTTAAAGGCAACATAATTTTAAACAACATGTCCAAATTTCGAGACATTTTGTCTGTAAATAACAGAAAAACACTGTCTCTAGGTTTTGGTGTACCGATAAAACAGCTAACCTATCTATAATGTTAATTAATTGGCGCTTTATTGCAGCCAATTTAACAGCTGACTTGTTTGGCCTCAATCTTGTAGATAAATAGCCATGTTTTGACTTAAAATTATGAGGGTGATGTACCCTCGAATTGATATGACCTTATATTAACCTGTTAATATTCGCATATTCTTATGGCTAACTTATTCTTTCACTATTGGTAACCAGACATTCCTACTACTGTTGATAAGTTTGCTACATATATTTCTTCATCTAGTAGGATGGGGGTTGCTTCTTTGGTTTTTCTCTTTTTGTTGTATCTTTCTTTC